TGGAAGAGTGCACCATCAGCAAATCATGTATACTGTTTCTAATAGTTGAAAATAACAATTTAAATTGGATGTATTTATATTCTCTGACCATTGCATAAAGGACGCAGGCTAACCAAGATTTGAGGTGTACAATGCTCAACATAGTGTTAACATATAACTCCTTACAAATCTTAATGGACACCGTAATAAATCCAAGAGTTCGCCCCCCAGTGGCACAGCGGAGTGCCTGCGGATTTACAACGCTAGAAACCGGGTTTCGATATACGTGGTGGGCAGAGCACAAATAGCCCATTGTGTAGCTTTGTGCAAAAAATCAAACAAACAAATAAACCTAGAATTCACTGTATTATGTTGTATGATTAAAACTTTACAAATGATGAGTTTTTGAGAGAGAGACTGCCAGAATAATTTCGGTTTTACGACCTAAATTACCTCACTATCGCTACGGGTAGGTCAAAGTTCGCATGCCACGACCTTTCACAGGTTATTTTATACATTTTTCTTTGAAACAAAACGGCGCATATTCTTACAGACTTTGATCATGTCCGTTCGTCCTATTTTGTAACCCAAACTGAAATTTGATATATTTTGCTGTTTAAACTTAACATTAAGAAGTTATATAACCTATTATAACTGGTATAGTTTGGAAGGACCTCTAGGCAAGTTGTGTTTAATAATCTTCAATTGGTCAAGATGGGTAAGTGTTTGATAGTGTATTCCCATTAGGAACGTTTGGTTTGAATTTCGCTCAAAGCTACCCGCGGACTATCTGCGCTAACCGTCTTTAATTCAGCAATGATAGGCTAGAGAAAAGGCAGCTAGTCAACACTACCCACCACCAACTCCTGGGATACTCTCTTACCAAAAGATAATGGTATTGACCGTCACATTATTATAACACCCCCACAGCTGAAAGGGCGAGTATGTTCGGTGACGCGGATTCGAACCCGCGACCCACATATTGCCCATTAGGAAAGAATATTTAATAACCATGAAAGAAGCAAAAAATAAAACAAAAAATGAAGGGGGAAATATAGTACACAGAATCTAAAAACACAGGCTCCTCTGGATGTCGGATTTGGCGAACCATGTTCGTGTCCGTGTGATGACGCAAAATGTTTCCTGCAATTTAAGTTGAGAGTGACAGTCAGTCTCTCAAATTGTATAGGGGAGGCAGAATGCTGCTGACTGGCTGCCTTCCTTTTCGCCAGTCGTACAAAACATATGAACCAAAGCCGAGGTCTATCAGACTTGTTTGTTAATTACTTGTTGAAATTTTGACTGGCATTTGACTTCCTGATTAATAATAACGTAACAAAGTAGATATCACAAGAAAAATAACAGGATTACTCACCAAACGTCACCAGATATAATATCAAAATTCCTTACCAAACATAATATCAGAATTACTCGCCAGATGTCAGAAGACATAATATCAGAATTACTCGCCAGATGTCAGAAGACATAATATCAGAATTACTCGCCAGATGTCAGAAGACATAATATCAGAATTACTCACCAGATGTCACAAGACATAATATCAGAATTGCTCACCATATGTCACCAGAAATCATATCGGCATTATTCACCAGATCCCACACAAGAAACAATATCAGAATTTGACACCAAATGCCACAAGAAATAATATCACAATTGCTCACCAGATGTCATAACAAACAATATCAAAAATGCTCCCCATCTTCAAAACCATGATAGTAATTTATAAATTACCACCATTTGGTGTTTTTACTGATTAGAATCATACTTTTAATTTCTTATTTTTTCCATGCGGTGATTTTCTATGCATTAAGGGCACATAACATCTAGTGAATGAAAAACCCTTGCCAAGAAATTCGCGCACAGAAATAAAATTGCGCCTTGAGCTTCGTTGTGCAGTTCAAAACGTATACTTAAAGCTACCGATCTGTACCAATTTATTAATGAGATGGATATTGCTTTACTATTAAGCATCACTAACATAATACTATATCTTTCTTTTCTTCTGCTTTCTGTACTAAAGATATTGACCTACTTATAGTTCTTTTATCCCGGATGTATCTAACAAATATTAAACGTAGGACAGTTGATTACACCATTTAGAAACTGAACTGTTCGACTGAATGCAGGGTGGAGATGTGGCCACGTTCCAAGTCTCACTATTTTGTATTAGCTACCAGCTGGCTTTCGTAGCATGACGTATGACTAATACCCGTGCATGTGTTTGTTTGTTTATACGTCGGCAAGTGTTTACCTGGTATGTGATACGAAGTAGAAGAATTCCCTTAGCCACTGACAATCAACAGCCTGAGGAAGTGTTTTAGGAGATTAGTACCTCAACAGTAAAAGGTTATTTGGGGATCAACGCCTCGGTAGATATGATAAAAAAAGAAAAGTTAGGGTATCAGTATCCAATATACCTAATTTAGAACAAGCACTTTTGTGTCGTTAGTGCTCTTTATTAGTCATTTTATCTTATTATTATTAAAAAACTCATTGTTAAGTCTGAGGGGGTTTATATCGCATAAAATCGGGTTTCGATACCTGTGGTGGCCAAAGATATCTTTTTGTGTAGCTTTGTGCTTGACATCACACACAACAACGTATACTTGAAAAAAATATGTATGTGTTTTTACCACTTATAAATTCTTCACTTTAAACTAAGGAAGCAACGACAAGTGTTTTCTTTCTTCTTTTTTTATTCCGTTTTTTGTTTTCAATAACTGGTTCCTTGTGAGAGCGAAAAATAAAACATATATTCACGTATCTTTCCCTCCTACGCTTTCCGCTGGAACTATCACCTTTAGCTCCCGGAACTCAGTAGTTGACGATTTACTGTTTTTTTAGGTAAAAAAACGCGATTAGATGAAAACAATCGTGTATACTATCCACAACTCGTGGTTTAAAGACACCTGTAGACAACCTGATGACCTTATCAATATATTTTCCTTTGAATTTTGGCATTGCATGAAAATTTTTAGGCCTAGAAGTTTTCATTGTTTCGTTACCTTTCGCTAATAGGCAAATAAAACTATGTACTTAACCTAACATAATACATCGTGTAAAGCTCATAACTTTCACTGTTGTCTGAAGACTAAAACTTGGTAATAAACAATACGCGTCTAAACCAATCGTGTGTTTGCTTGATGTAAAATGTTACGCAACAGTAGATGTTTTTTTTTTTATAACATATTTTACCTAACAAATCACATAAAACCATCTCGATTAGCTCGCTATATATTAAGAAAAAAAGCCTAAGGGTAGAAATCTAACTCCATAAGTAAAGAAGGTTTGTCAGTAACTATCTTAGGTTTTGACTTTTGCGTGTTCTTCTTCTCTCTGTATCATTGGTACAGTGAGCGACTCCTTGTTTCTGCTGCAAACAACTGTTCTGGATCACGAACTTAAAGTGGAGGAAAGTTACCGAAGCGTGTTTTAACCAACAACAAAAAATTAACATGATATTTTAAAGTTTTCAAGCATCACAACTTTTCTAAAACGGAAATATTTAAGTAGATATATATAAAATTTTATCTAAATATTTTTTCAGATGCATGTATGTTTTAGCAGTATTAATTGTAACCTTAAACAAAATGTTAATAAATTTCACTAATAATGTTTATTATCAGTTTTGTGACGTAAAATAAAACACCGAGTAAAAATAATTTTTGTTGGGATAAATTACACTAAAGAAAATTCATTGTAAAATCTTAAACAGTGATCGTGAAATACATTTAAAACACCAATAAACTAAAACTAAAAAAAAATGCTATCTGCAAGTAAAGTGTAAAGCCCCAAGTAACAGTAAAACAGACCAAACAATAATTCGGAAACTGAGATCATGTAATAATATTAAACCCTCCATTTGTTAGTCTTCTTGATTCCCTAGTGAGCCAACGGTAAATTCTCTGACTTATAACTCTAACTTTCGATGTCCAATTCCTCGTGATGGACTGAGATATTTTACTCTGTAGCTTTGCACTAAAACAAATAATAAATCAATAGTCTCCTTCCTCTGTAGGAGTCTACATGCACTTTATGTTCTTCTTCGAGCTTAACGACTTTGTAATTCTAACGCCCTCTATAGTTTAATATTCTATTTATTATTTGACGAGAACATAATATTTGAGTGAAAATGTTTTATTAAAAACAAAAATCTTGCCCTCACCCCCATAGCAACAAAAACAAATTTTTGTTTAACATGTTCCATGACAATGTTTACTTCCTTCTGAGGGCTAATTAACCAATTGTATAATTACATACCTAGTATTTTTCTAATTTCAGGCGTAATATCAATATTTTTCCGTTTCTTTGACACAAATTTCGTTTTTGAATGCAATTATACCGAACAGTTACATGACAAAAAATATTTTCCCAATAGAACCACGAATGCATTTTCCTCAACCACATAAATAGATTAATTTTTGAATTCGATATGAAATTTTTGTATTCATTATTATGTATAGATTGTTAGTGTTTCTGAGAAAAAATAATTTTACACCCAGAACTTTGTTTTTCATAACTGTAGTACGAATTTCTTTGAATTATTGTTCAGTATGTTAACATTTTCATTTATACTTTAACAGTGAGTGCTGCAAAGACACGTGTATACGGAGCGTTATATTAAAACGGTTTTGGAGCTTCGCCACGTCGTTATAATCCATGTCGTCACGTCCGGTCATGCTCTTTCTGTCATCATGGGTGAAAACAAGCATATTTCCAACTAAGTTTGTCCCCGGTGGGTCAGCGGTAAGCCTACGGATATAGAACGCAAAATCCGGGATTCGATTTCACGCGGTGATCAAAGTGCAGATAGCCCATTGTATGGCTTTGAACTTGGGAACCAAGTTTAATGGTCTCATTCCGTCATACTTTGTATTTCTGAAAAAGATATTTTGTATAAGAAAATTGTGGTTCAGCCACAAACTTTGGTTAAATTATAATAGCATTTAATTTGTGTATCACATACAAAATCCTTTAACCTTCTTCTATTTTAATTCCAGGTGAATCTATCCACTTGGCACGAGATTTTGGGTACATATGCGAGACGGAGTTTCCTTCCCGTCAGGTGGCAGAGTATTTATGTCGAAATCATGCTGATCCAACTGACATGTACAGAAGAAAAGAACTTCTGTTAGCTACAAAGTAAGCATTATTGTTATGTCATGCATAGGGTTACTAGATGTCTCGGTTTTTTAGCCCTTTTTTTTGTCCCGTCCAGAAACAATAAAAGTATTACATTTTTCCTGTTTCTCTGTACCTCAATGTAGGTTTGATATGTATGGTTTGTCATTATACATGGCTCATTCATAGTTTACTTTGAGAATCACCACACGGAAATAGATCACAAGGTACAGTGTTACCTCCCTCTCTATTACGTTTTCTTAACCTAACGGGTCATTGGGGAGCCACTGGAATTCAGATTTCAAGAGTTGCCCAGCCACGGTGAAGAAAACGAAGAAGCCCTAGAAATTATGGGTGTGTGGCAACTTAAATGTGACCAAACTTCCTAATTAAACCCAAGAGTAACCCATATGATTCTCAAACACATTTTTTAATACTATTTATGCATTAAATACTTATGGGGCCCATAACTTCGTTGGTTTCAGGATCCTTAATAATACGCGAGTCACACACACAAGAATTTCAGTAAAACATTACCGCGAATACTGCAATTAATCCCACTAATTACTATTGGGATTCCCTGTGTAATTTTCATGGAAAACGAGTGATTTCAGCCAATTGTGTTTCGTCAGTTCTTTACATTGGGTGTTGCAACACAAAGTTACTCAGTATGAAGTAGTATGTAGACCTCACAGGTAGCGAACGGTATGTAAACAAGTTGGTAATTTGAGGGTTAATCAAAATTGTCGCCTCCATATGAAGAATATCGGTTTTTAATTCTCAAGTAAGAAATGTTACCAATAGGAAACATACTTGCCAAAACAATGTAATATCATTAACACGTAAAAAACGTAATTATTTCTTATAAATAAGTATTTTCATTCGTTTCAAAATGAAAAAAACAAAACAAACAGAGCTGTTGTTAGAAACTTCTAAATAACTTTTTCATTTTCTAGTGACATCTGCTGATTGAAATTGATAATATTTCAATATTTTGTTACATTTTGATTTCTGTTAATTTTGAGATTATTATTTAATTGATATCTTTAAGAAAGTTTGGTCTTTAAAACATCTTTAAACAAAAAGTTTGTAGCAGTGTGTTTCACCACATTTTTCAAAACCTATAAAACGCCTCTTTAAACCAATACATAGTTTACATGATTAAATTGATAAAACTATGTATAAATTTCATAATTAAGTTGAATGAAGTATTTATTCTAAAGTCACCACGAGGTGTCAGTTAGGCATACGAAAATCTGTATCTATTTAATCACATTTGTCTGAACATTAACTTCGGAATTAATTATCCGTGGATCGCAGAACACTATTATCCATACTTTTATATTTCGTTATTCCAATGAATCTTTCCAGAATAAAACGGGCGAGCTGCTGTTTCAACCGGAGACTAAGAAAATACTTTGTCACCTGTGTAACTAATCAATTGTTGTTGTCGTATTTAAATGTGGATGTTTAACATGTTAAAAATCAAGAAACAAGTTGATATTCTCTTACAAACGCACAAGAAAATACGCCTAAAGCAAGGGCGTTGTTAGCTGTATGGTGGATCCGGAAATCTGGCTCAAGAACCAATTAATTTTGGTGAGAAAGAGATAGTCTCTAAATATCTGGACAGTAGTATCTCGAGTTTTCAAATATGCGCTCTCGCATACCTAATGAAAGTTCATGAATTGGGTGTATCTCGTTAAAGATCGAGCATATATTTTCTGGTATTTTACAAATTCTTTGTTTGAAACATTGGCGCACATCAATACGCACCAAGTCTACAGCCTGAAGAAACAATTATTGTGTGGATCCTGAATGAAAGTGTTTGTTATAAATTAATTTGTTGGCGGAAAAATGAGATTTTTGAAATCTAACATGGAATGTTATTATGAGGCAGTTAATAAAATCTGTCGATTGTGCATACAACAACAACAAAATTTAACATTCTACACAATTTTTTTTTCAACTAACTTCGTCGTTACAGATATGTGACGACTTTATGCGCAGGATTCATCCTTTGGTTTGCCTATCCAGATTTTTTTATATTCATTGAGCACCCATTATGTGGGTGTTGTTTTGTAGTACAGTAGTTGCAGTACTTGAAGCATATTTTCTTAGTTAACAAGTCATATAAAGAAGCAAATTTTTATCAGTTTCTGTGTGCTATGCTTTAATTAAATTGAATTTATATTATCGAAATGGTATTTTTAAATAAATATTTTCAATCCCGTGATTGGAGGACATCTATATCATGTGTATGTGTGCATAAACTGAAATAACAACTTTATTTGTTCTGGTGGTAAACAATGCACACTATATTGCCTGAAAAATAGAGTTCACACTGTTTATCACCAAAACAATTAGAGCTGAGCCACGCTTTTGCCTATAAAGTCAACGAAACATTTGTGACTGGACTCGTGTTTTACCATAAAAACATTTAAGGATTGAAGGCTTCACCACATGCGCGTTTGTACATCTGGTCTCTATAATCGTGTGTACACGCGCGTGCTTACGTGCTACCAATAACAAAGAACTGGAAGATTGACCCTTCTATTTGAAAATAAACTAATCGTGAGCAATTCTGAGTACGTGTTGTCGACAACGCATTTATGGCAACAAGACTGGTTTACCCGTTTTTAGTGTGAATAATTTGTTTTTGTATACAACCAGACCCTATAGTTAACGTGCATGCTATCTACGGTACATTTGTATACAACCAGACCCTATAGTTAACGTGCATGTTACCAACAGTACGTTTTTATACAACCAAACCACATAGTTAACGTGCATGTTAACAACAGTAATTTTGTATACAACCAGACCCAACAGTTAACGTACATGCTATCAACGGTACTTTTGTATACAACCAGACCCAACAGCTAACGTGCATGTCACCAACAGTACGTTTATGTACAACCAAACCCTAGAATTAACGTGCATGTTACCAACGGTACTTTTGTATACAACCAGACCCAACAGTTAACGTGCATGTCATCAACAGTACGTTTATGTACAACCAAATCCTAGAATTAACGTGCATGCTACCAACGGTACGTTTGTATACAACCAGACCCAACAGTTAACGTGTACGCTACCAACAAATTGAAGATTGATTAACGGCCATATTTCTATGTGTGTGTGTGTGTGTGTGTGTGTTATCACTAATATGTTTAGGAGCGCCGCACTTCATTGTAATCTAAACTATACTCGTACATTTTTATGTATAAGCGCGTGCATTTGTAGCAGGGCGTTGTGCAACTAAAATTGGGGAGGGGAGCACAGTCAAAATCCAAATATGTAGAGCGCTTTTTACTTTCTTGTTATTAAGTTTCTGCTGTCACTTTGGTTATCTTATTGATTTCGAATCCTGACAAATATTCTGAACATATTTAATTAAATGTTTATACATGGGATTATGACCATTAAAACACTGTCAGGAAAACATTGGTGGGGCAGGTGTTACCCACCCGTTGTCTATGGGCACTACACCACTGACTGATAGTTTTATTTCTATGAGTGTCTGTCAGTCAGTCAACAAACACTAAAATGACGTCAGATAAGGGACGCTTAGCGTTGCAATTTGTACTGTCGTGACGTATATGCGCATGCCATGAATCAGGAGAAGAATTATGCACTCTGTAGGCTACAACGCAGCAAGAAGTAGAAAAATTTATTATTCTTAATTTTGGTTTTATATACTCTTCAAACAGAACACTTCCGGGGACCCTATGCAAGTACATCTAATGTAAAACTTTATTTTGATGTAGTGTTTGATTATTATGGTTAAGTTTCAGTGGATTTGTGGTGTGAGGTATTTACTTTGTTCTGGATCACAATCCCTTAAAGATACATATGCGAAATATTTTTGTTTTCTCTTTCTGAAACGAAGTGTAAAAGAACGAAATTCAAATGTTCATTGTATTTTAAAAAATACTTGTTTTGTGTAGATTACTCTTTCGGTTAATTTCTATCAACAGCTATTGTTTAATTCAATTGTTCTAACAAGCGCAACGTTTCTGGTAGTTGAAACGTATACTAGGTTTGTTAATTCACTGCGTCATAATTTAGAGAAAAAAATGTTGATTAGAAAGTAAATGTAAGAGACATACTGTTTTCGGTCAGTAAATCGTGCGTTCGTAAAGAGATAAAAGTAAGACACCCGACTTTGTTTTTTTACCAACCAATCTGCGAGTCAATGAGACTGAATTCGGGGATTGAGTGGGCTACGGGGGGGGGGGGGGGTGTCACAGTTTCAGGAATTTACGTTAGAACCGAGAGAAAAAAAAGAATACCGATAAAGGATCAATCTGTTACACCCCTCCCCCTTAAAAAATAAAACAACAACAAAAAATCACTTTACTGCCGCCGAAAGAACTCATCTGTAAATAATGTTCATCACAAAGGTGGTGGAGTTTAGGGATTAGGGTAATGGCCGGAATGTGTTCCTCTTTCCCAGTAAAAGTGTTCATGTTCAAGTAAGTACCACACTTACCCACTTTACAACAACAAGTAAGATTCGTTGAATTTCTTTCAGCATCTCTATCGAAGAACTCGTAAAAACCGCTGAGAAAACGCCTTTATAGAGCTGAGGAACTGGATCTTGCATTACGCAACATGTGCTGACATTCCCGTGTTTTTTGTAAATTTTGGGGTAGGTGTATGGATGGGTTTTACTCCCTTACAGTCTGGAAACTAGCGCGAATTCTGTCACGCCGGTGGGCGATTAATATTCCAGATAATGAAAAAACCTCAATTTTCTATCTAGAATAACAAAAAAAAAAAAAATAAATAAAAAAAATAAATAAAAGAGAGTGAGAGGGGGTACCGGAAAACTTTTTTGGAGTTATAAAATTTAATATTTTGAAGAAAACTACGTTGATACACAAAGTGACGTAACTCTTTATAGTTTTATGTTTGATTTAATAGCATCGCGTATGAAAAGTTGAATTAAATGAAGTGTTGAGAATACAGTGCCCTATCATAGTTTGCATGTAAAGTACCTGACACTGTATAGAGTA